AGTTAAGAAGAGGGGAATGTATGGGAAAAAGACATCATCACAAGGACTCTCAAGCAGCATCCAGCAATCATATAATCATTCGTTCAAGGAAGAGTTACTTAGGTTCTATTTTGTACAAGATTTTACAGAGGGCAAACAAAGGCCGCAGCGTCCATGGTGGCAGCAAGTGGCTGGGCAATAATACAATTCAAATCCCGGTACCTAGCACACTTGTCCTCAGTATAAAGGCAAAAAAATAAAGTAAAATAATACTATGTAAACTCTACGCATAGCTGAAAAAAAATTAAAGAAGGCCTAAATGTCTGGAAAGACACACCATGCACATTCCTGGATCAGAAGACAGCGCTCTTGGTATGGCAGTGCTCCCCAGACCGATCCGTATACTCAACGGTGTCTCGATCACAATCCCAGCGGGCTCCTCTGCAGAAACTGACTAGCTGCTGCTACAATTCATATGGGAATTCGAGGGTCTCAGTATCTAAAACGTACTTGAAAAAGAAGAACAAATTGAGAGGACTTGTAATTCTCAATTTCAAAGCTTACAACTGTGTATCCAGGTGAGATTAGAGGCCATTTTTAAGTTATTACTGTGTTTATCCTTATTTTCTAAATTCTGTACAATGAATATACCTGTTAGAATAAGAAAAATAAAACGTAAGGTATCTTTTAAAACACGCACACCGATTCATTCATTGGGGAAAAAAATTATTTTAACTATGAAGAGGTAAACAAATATCTAGTGAAAAAGGAGTACTTAAAAACAAGTGTGCATTTACAATTTTCATAAATTGAAAACTGAAAAGCACAAACACATCAAGTTTCTAGGGAGACCGGTGAAATATATTAACAGTCATTTGCAAAAATTCTAATTGAACAATGAAAACTCAAAGGGAAAATCCTGATTGACAGCCAACTGCAAACACATGGAGAGCAAACGCCTACAAATCATTGTTCCTTTAAATCTGCTACTAACTCAATAGGAGAGGAAATTCCTCACTGAGGGGACAGTGGAATCCTATGCATAAGACAGGATACACAGTACAATCTGCAGTAGTATCGGGAGTGAATATCTTAGGATTCTAAAGTTACAACATTGCTGAAAAACTATAAAAACAATGACAGACAGATTAAAACACACAGTCATATATATTATATAGAAACATATGAAGTCTGCTATCATGTTGCATAGAAATACAAACATATTTGTTCATTTATGGGCATTGATTATTTTATCCCAGGTAGAATATTTCAACTAAAACAAATAATCAATAATACACTCCTCTTGTCAAATCTACTTGATAAGTTACTTTGCTATGTAACCATAATGTGTCTAATATAGATCTATAATTAGTGAAAAATATTTTTGTATGGTTTCTTGAATTCTACTCAAAATTCCAAGCTTAATTTTAAAATATATCTGACCAATATTTCTATATTATCTTTTCCCTTGTGAAATGAACAACACAGTCTGCTGTCAAAATTCTGTCTTTACAATGATTCACGAGCAACGTATCCTCACAAAACTGCTGGAGAGCAAGGCACTATCCAGACACTGTGACCAAACCAAC